CCAACTTATCTAAATAAGGCAGGTCTCCTGACGCGATCTGTCACGTTTTATCAAAATGGGTGTCTGTAATTGGATAACCTAATAGAGCAAATGTACTATCAAGGGATGAGCTTTTTTCATAAGTCGGATGACTAATTAACCCAGTATCGCGTTGAAACTTGGCATGTAGACTCATTGCCGATGACAACACATTCTAACTAATTTTCAGCCCCACCCTCCATCCCATTCATCAACAATACATTTTCCCTGTTTTTCAAATGGAACATGAATCAATCTGCAGTAAAGGCCGGGGGGGGAATTTCAATATTAATATAGTTTAAAGGCGTGAAGAAAAATGTTTGGTTGCAAGCACAGTTGGGCAGGGGGGGGGGACTAATTGGGATTCTTTTAAAATGCTTTACTTGTATGCATGATTTTGAAAATTTTCACCCCCACCGTCCAATTTGCCCGATATTACATTTTATTAAGGCATAAGGATTTATAGGAAAAAACTTTGTTTTTAGGAGATGGTACGATCAAAGAACGTTTTATTATTAAGATCTAGAATGGAATGATCATAGCGTGCAACAGATAACATAATTTATAATTAACATTAAAAAACATAAACGCTCAATTTTTATCTTTTGTTTTCAATTATTTTTTTAAAGAGGAAAAAGTAGGACAAGTTGAAAAAACAAAATTATATTTCTGTTGATGTTTGAGTCTGTTCCAATCAATGAATGTCTCACCGGGGCCGAAGCTTATTGTTCTGGACAATAATATTTAAGTAGCGTCGGCTTAAGTGCTAGAGTGATGCGGAGTGTGTCCACTGGTTCTTGACATACGTGTATTAAAAATGTACACTGTTTTGCAAACCGACATACGTTAATAGTATCAGATACGTTAATTGAATTAAGAAAATATGGTGATTTTTCTTAATGCCACTTAATAGATATGTTTTATAAATTGCGAGGGATGTTAAGATCTATCATAGAGGGATGTTCATCATCTTCTGTTTTTACTCTACGTTTTAGCCTCTGTCCCTACATCTTACGATTCTGTAAAGTAAAGACTTTCGGATTAAGGGACCATGAACAAATTTTCAAGGAACCATCTACGGGTCAGAAGGAATGAGCATGACAAATTTGTTTGCGATCCATTGTTTGGTTTTCAAGTCATTGAGCGACCCATCTAAAAACAAACACAGTCTCACTGAGCTTCATGAGGAACACGTTAAATTTAAAAAAAAAACAACAGAGTAGCTTGCCCGTGGTTGCCGCCTACTTTTACCGATTTGGGTTGGTTCCAAAATCATGTTTGATATTTCTAAACTCGATTCCAGTAAGTGAAGCAGGGTTAATTATAACATACCCAATAACATAGATTTTAAAATAAAATGTATACTTTTATTCTGAATAATTTATTTGCTCTCAAGTCATTGTAACATCATCCGATCCATGTTTACTTAGCCAAACCATGACAACAACAAATGCTATGAAATCGGAAATTATATGCAACCATTATGTTCTTTTCGCTCTGATTTTTTTTCCTTCTTCGTGATCGTTGACTATGGGATCCGGTATCATCCTCACAGGTATCAAATTTCATATTTCTAGGTTGCCTCGAAGTGTTCTATTAATTCGGGTCGTATTGTGATTTATCGGACTTATATATATAACATTTTCATTAACACTTTTCTTTTATAGTGTAGATAACCTTTTTTTTTAATTATCTGCAACTACTTTTAAAGTAACATTTTAATAGCAAGAGTCCTGGTAAAGATTGAAGACCCTGTAAGGACAAACATTATCACCTCTTGACATAGTTTACTGTGGCGTTCATATTGCCGCATTGACAACTTTGCGGCAGGTCAGTGGTAGATAAGACAAGGGCACGTGCACATTTAGTGCACATTTGTCTGCAACCCTTTGTTTGGGGACAAGAAGATTAATTACCCGAGTTCATTAGTGCTTGATGTGTGTCTAAGAATTGCAAAATGACATGTTTTAAAAAAACTGTTTCGTTTCCTATCTAGAAATCACAGACAAATTTCATGGTTTCATTAAGCTTTCGGCGAATGAGACTCGCGGCTTAGGGCCCAACACCTTTTATGTTCCTCGACACAAGTGATGACTTGTTTTTTTAAATTTTTGTATACGGTTGTAATTTCATCTTGAGCGAATTTGTAATCAGACAAGGTCAAGTACTGATTGTACTGACAGCACTGATATCAGGTTCTAAGTAATGTAGACCAAACGTGTCCTAAACTTTTCCTCGAAAAGATAATTTCAAAGAAAGTCCTGTGAGAGACTGTAATCTATTAAGGAAGTATGAATAAAAGACAGTTTTCCTTCTTACTGTTTTAGCCAAAGACATAGAAATCCCAGTGAAACAGCATTAAAACATTATCTGCCTCTTAGTCTACCACACACAGGCTTTCCGCTGTTAATTGCAATGATGTCCCGAGATGCTGACAAGAGGGCGAGCTTGAGTTAAGTTGTGCTTCAACGCTTGCCTCATGTATTCACTGCTTAAACTTAAACGTTCGGGAGACGCAAAAACCCTTAAAACATTTTTGTTTTCAAAATTTTCTTAGGTTATTTTGTCTGTAGTAAGAATATCGTGACATAAAACAAATTTTACTTTAATGACGTCATTGTTTGGCTCAACATGCCTTCATAAGTTATTTTAAATATATAATATTGACATAATTTTTTTTTTTAAAATTTGGTCCCATCCGCCAACACATGAAAACGTTCTTTCCCCCCTTTTTAAGAGATAGAATTTGTATTTAACTTAAATAAGCCTACCTACATTCTTTTCTTTGGAATAAATATATATATATATATATATATTAAATAATGTAATGCTGTTAGTCCGTCATACATCTCATGTTATTAGGAAAAAAATTGCTATTCCTTTATTAGAACGCTTCTCTTAAAGACGCATTCTAATTATTATATCTAAAAATAATTGTAACAATTATTTCACGTGTTTATAAAAAGTTCCATATAATGAAACCGGGGGGGGTTGCGTATACATAATCAGTTATTCATTATGTAATAACTCTTTGGGTAAAGTAGGTCAGGAAGTCCAATATTTCAAAGTAGGCCTGGTACAAGTGCGTGACAGAATCAGCGACTGAATGTTCTCTGATTAAGTAGAACACTGTGCTCTGGTTAATAAGTGCTCTGTGCTCTGATAAGCAGTACTCGGTGCTCTGGTTAAGTAGTACTCGAAGCTCTGTTTAAAATTACTGAGAGTACCGCAAATGCATTTTAGCATTATCTTTCCTTTACAGATATAGTTGGTGTAATAAATCTGCGGGTTAAAAGCGGGGAAGGGGGGGAATGTCAGAATATTAATATAATTAATGTTCGAGGGAGTATCGGGAGGGGCTAGCAGAGGGTATCTCGTAAAATGCGTTATTTGATTGCATGGTTTGTCAAGAAACTTTAGTACATGAGAAGTTCACACATTCCACCCGCCTTTGTTTGGGGGGTTATAGCTAGTAGAAAGATAAAAAAAGTTAAATAGAGAGCGAGATAGAGAGAGAGAGGGGGACAGAGAGAATCAGAGAACAGATTACGAAAGATTATAGTAGCACCATTAATTCACATATAATCTTAATGCAAATGCTAAATCACAAATAATTATGCACTCGACTTTAATAAATATTGAACCTCATTAATGTTGTTGTGCTCTTTATAACTATGACTTATAAAGTTGTCAGTGACTACACGCGCATACATGAAGCAATTTCGTGTTTTGAAAGCTGCAAAAGAAAAAAAAGGTACGTACTGTTCCATTTCCTTTACAATAATCAACCATTGCCTAATGAATCGACATAGGTAGAACGATTGATGCGTGCCTCTTATTATATCACATACGGACAAATATTTGGTGAGCAAGTTGTTCTTTAAAAAAAAAAAAAGTCTTTTTAATATAATCCAGAGCTTCGCAAAAGGTGTTCCTGGTGAGCCACGCTGAGAGTCTCCATGAACAAGCACAAAGCTGTCCAACAGCGCTACAAAAGAAATGTGTCCAATTCAAATTAACTTCGCTTTTGTGTGTTTAGGCAACATCTTTGGGCGGTTAATTGACACACTTCCGGTCAATTAAAAAACTCCTTGTCGATGACAACATATTCCTTCGAGTTTTAGGCCCCATATCCCCTCGCCAATCCTCTTTAAATAAATATGGATGTGGAGGCACATATATAAACCTGATTTTTTTAATATAACAACCGCAGGGTGTCTCTGTATGTATCTCTTGGGTTCAATCCCTTTGGACAATTTTTGCATGATTCCTTTGTCACTCTGGTTCGATGGGTTAACATTTCTTTGTAAATGGCTCTGTTAAAAAGATCTGTTATATCCTCATTCATTACCAACGATAAAATCTGTACCTTGAACAAGACGATGTCAAAGTCCGAAATGCACAACTGCATTAGCACTGTCCACCACTTTCCAATAAAGAGATGGCTAACAAACTTTTAAATTAGTTTTCAGAAATCAATTATTTTTTTATTAAGAATATGTCCATTTGAATATTATTTGAATTTGGACTTACATGAGTTTACTTTAGTCGACTCGACCATATTACGTATTAAATAAAGTCATAAATACTGTATGATGGTCTTCATTACAATTCAAATGGTATTACAAGTGAATGAACAACAAACAAGAGTTTGTAAGGAGTCTTGTAAGCCAGCTTTTTCACCAGGTTTAGTTTTTTCGTGGCTTTGTCACACAGTTCGTTGACGTGATTGTGCAGTTGGCAGTTTCCGATAAAAATTTACCCTCAGATACAAAGGAGACGTGTCCAATTTTGTTGGTCTTTCCCGCTGATGATAAACTGGATGGTAGGTTTCGGTGCGTTTTTGTGAAAATGGATTGGGCAGTCTTTTCCGTATTCCTGATCATTTTCAAATTCACCGCGTAAGATTTTATATTATATTATATATATATATATAATCCAACAAAAATATATGGGATATGAAGAACAAAGAGGTATCATATAGTTTAAAAAGTTTTATTAACAATGTATGAATGTTTATCATAATTATCCATAATTTATTATCAATTTTTATAAGTGCATAAGTCCTGGGTTCCTAACGAGTGGCTCTAAATGTTGCTTTTGAGGATGAAGTAGTCGTTTTCTCTGATGTTAAGCATATAGGAGAACTATTGACTTATTTTCCCCATAAACTACACCAAATGATGTCAGTTTTATTGTAATCGGTCAAAACGGGGATTATCTGGGATTATTGATACAAGTCAAAGTCTCCGTCTTCAAAACATGTTCGCGTGTTTCGTCTTAATCATCGTTGTGATAAATATAAACGTCTCACCTAACCATGTGACCGTCTGCCAACAGCATGCCCCCTTTTCAAAACGTTTTAAATTGACGTCTCCGATCTTTTCATAAACTGCTGGTTTTAGGACTTTTCACAAGCTCCACAAATGTAACGTTCAATGTCTCTATTGAGGTAAGTGGTTTGGGGGGGGGGGTTGCTGAATGACCATGAAACAAGCCATCATTACATTGACAGGCAGTTCGCGAGCTCGCATCCTACACATCTAATCTAATACACCTAGAGCTCAAACGCATGTTGCCCCTCGTTGAATTCATTCGTTAATGTTTTCATAGTCGTTATTGGAAGCCCGTTCTAAACTTCAACGAGTCTTAGAAAAGGCATCGCATATTTATTATTTAGTAATTTAAATGTATAACGTTATAAAAGTTAGAAATTCCAAATAAACATTTTAAATTACTGTATTAGCTTGGAATTTCTTGCTGTTTCATTTTTCCTCAGATAAATCGTATTTTAATAAATATATGACGGCCATTGTAAATATTTCCTTTCGTCTTCTTACACCATATAGATACAATTTATTTTAAAATTGAACTGGTTTAAATAGCCCTACAGAAACTTTAGACCTTTTCTACAAAACAGTTGTTTTTTTCTAACATTTTTGTAACTGTAAATTTTGGGAAAGACTTCTTAGGTTTTAAAAATTAAATCTAAAACGATAATTATTGTACTAACATACTAATAGATTTTCCTTTATTTAAAATTAACGGTCATATGTTTTGAACGGAATTTTTAAATCTTTTTATTTATAGCGATTCGTTGATGAATTAGTTTAAACAAATATATAGTTTCAAAATAAAATAATAAAACAGCATAACGATTTAGATAAAAATAAAAATAAAAGGGATTTTGCGTAACCCATGCGTGGTCAAGGGAACCTACACTTCAAAAATAATCTATTTTATTGCTAGCCGGTTAATAGTAGAATGGTGCAAAACTAAATTCATGTATGTGCCAAAATGCAACCCATCATTTTAAATTTTATGAAAAATATTAAATTTGTTATCAACAATTTTCTTGGGGATGGGCTTATTGAGACTTCTCTCCAAACCTTGAACCCCAGTTTCGTTCGGCACCCTTGAACTCTTCTCTCATCCCTCTAAAAGTGACAATGCCGACACATGTTTATCTAAGTAAACACAATGATTTTTTTGAACGGACACAATTATGATTTTCTTTTAGTTTAGTATACATATTTAGACTATAATGAGTCTAGGCACGAAACTAAGCTGGGATAAAAGCATACCCTCAGGGGACACCACTACCAGAACGAAATTAAGGTCATGTATGACGATGGCGAGGAAGTCAGAGCTGGGCATCAAAATTCATATGTCTTACATTAATAAAAGAAACTTGGCTATATTTAGCTATTCCGTCTGCGTGAAGAAAATAGTAACACTCTTTGCCATAATTTTTTTTACTTATGAAATAAAGGTACGTATCCAATGCTCTATATTTGTACGGCAGACTGGACAGTGGTCAACCTCTGCTGAACATTCAGGACAACAGACGAGATGACCGCACGGTACAAAAGTCACACAGGCTTCGCGAGACAAGCAGACCTTGCACTGAAGCGTTCCGTTGACCAGTCCACCGTTGCTACCAGTGGACGTGTCGACATCTTCACTCAAGCCCTTCACCTCTGTTGGTGTGTTTGGTACAGTGGGAATCACGTGTTGGGCATTCAGCCAAACCTGTAGGCGTAAGTCAGTAATTGGTGTCCATGTTAATTGTCACTTCTAAAAAATGATGAAACGTTTGAAACAGTAAAATAATTTTTTACAAGCAAAATTATTGTGTCTCTTTTAAAGCGCATTAGCCCTAAAAAAAAGGGATACACATGTGTACCATCTGGTAACAAAATGTGTCCAGTTTAGCATGAAATTCTGACTTCAGACAACATGAATCAGCGCTTACTAAAATTGAATAATAATAATAGCTATGAAATTAAATATTTGATATTAATAAATAGATTATGGCCATGGAAAAAAGGAAATTAATTTTATCAAAATAGCAACAAATAATATTGGTGACACAATCGAATGGATACTTAAAGCTTGATACCTGGCCTAGTCCTTGTGGGTTGTATGTCTTCTGGACGCCGTCTGCATACTGGACAATGATGTCACCGTCCTTGTCTATAGCGCAGACACGTCCAACTTTTCTAGTATACTGAACGCAAAGAATCGACCACAATTTACTTATAGTACCGCATATTTACTAACTGCTTCTACCGTGACTTAATAAAATGTAAATATTCAATAAAAATTACCAAAGTCTTTTGTTTTCAATGTTATATAGTAATATACATTTTTTCCTATAAAAAAATCATTATTTTTTAATCCTTAATTCCATAAAAAAATTTTCTTCTCCGGAAATTAATAATAATCTTAAAATAAATTTACTACCACGAAAGACTAAAAAAATTGATTGATGAAACGATAAGTTGCAACGGGTGCGTCCATACCGTGTCCGAGTCGCATCCACCGTGTCCGTGCTGCAAGATTTTCAATGTGTTGATATCGACGTCAATTTTTACAAATTCCCCAATTTTGAAGTTGCAGTTTTTTCTCTTGGCCGGTTCCTCAATCTTACCTTATGTGAAAGTAAAACATTAAAACAGAAAAGGTTACAGTTGCAATAAAAGAATGTGTATGTTTAAAGGAAAAAAAAAAGACAGCTTTTCTTGTTATATCCATAACATATCTTGTCATGGATTTGACATTTGTTATATGAAAGCCCAACAATATTTATTATAACAGTCAAAATTAGCAATAATTAATCACAGAGATGAGAAATACTTAATTGTTTTCAGGTACTTCATAATGTTTCCAAGTATAGATATCGATAGAAATCATGTCAGTAACTAGAAATTGGGAAAAGGAATTAATTTTTTAAACACATACATTTTTTATCGAACTGTATATGACATTCCATTTTTAATGCTATGGTCCTATCGTAAGTGTGTCGTGTCTGTATAAGACAACTCTTCAGAACATTCTTATACTTACCAAATACGGGCATGTGACATCTGTAATAGCCACCCCCAGATGTTGACCTGACACATTTAAGGTCAACCCTTCCTTCAGTTCCGACACGGTATTCATGCGCTTCGCCGTTTGGCCACACGACGTGCGCTGTGTCCCGCCCTGAGTCAGTCCCGGACGAGAGAATGGCATGGACTCTGCCCTCTTCGCCGTCACCACCTGTAAAACAATGTCTCGCCATAATTCTGATCCCATCAAAAAAATAAATAAACATCAACTACTTACCTCAAGAGTCATTGACTTCTCTATTTAAAAACTACTTACCTCAAGAGGCACTAACTTCTGAACTAAAAAACTAATTACCTCAAGAGTCACTAACTTCTGAACTAAAAAACTACTTACCTCAAGAGTCACTAACTTCTGAACTTAAAAACTACTTACCGCAAGAGTCACTAACTTCTCAACTTAAAAACTACTTACCTCAAGAGTCACTAACTTCTGAACTTAAAAACTACTTACCTCAAGAGTCACTAACTTCTGAACTTAAAAACTACTTACCTCAAGAGTCACTAACTTCTGAACTTAAAAACTACTTACCTCAAGAGTCACTAACTTCTCAACTTAAAAACTACTTACCTCAAGAGTCACTAACTTCTCAACTTAAAAACTACTTACCTCAAGAGTCACTAACTTCTCAACTTAAAAACTACTTACCGCAAGAGTCACTAACTTCTCAACTTAAAAACTACTTACCGCAAGAGTCACTAACTTCTCAACTTAAAAACTACTTACCGCAAGAGTCACTAACTTCTCAACTTAAAAACTACTTACCTCAAGAGTCATTGACTTTTCTACTTCAACTGATTTTAATTTTAATTTGAAAAAAAAGAAGAAGTATGACGACTTACAATTATTTTTTCCTGAACGCAATGCACATACAAATAAACTATACATCCTGTAAACTTAAGATACATTCATGTCAACATCTTCAAAGCTTCTCTTACCATCTTGTTCTCCCCACCTCCAGTCAGCCCCACGACGCACTGCTGACCCGGTAAAGATCCCCATGGCCTGCACTTTCTGACTCTCCATGCGACACGGTACTTTATGGTGTCTGAAAACATGCAAACGGAAAGTGAAAGAAAGAAAGGGATGTTTAAATCTAAATATAAACTGTACACATTAAAATGAAATAAAACTGACACCAGGACATTACGGGCGTATGTCATTAAGTATGTGTGATTAGACTGCGTGCACATTTGATGTTGGCTTTGCTTTATACTAGCGCATCTCGTCCCTAACACTTCTCTGCTCTATTCACTCTATTGGGAACCTACCAGCTTCGATACCCTAAAGTGTGTTTGTTAAATACGGATGGCTCGTCACTGCAATGTTCTGATTTAGGTTCTGTGTCATGACTAAGGAGCAAAGTTTAAGATTTAGTTGCTTACAGTTTCGACCATGGGTTGTCTATCCTCAAGAAGGGATGTGAGAGGTCGTGCTTATCACCACCGTAACACGCCGAGCAGAGGTCGTAGTTGTAGCAAGAGCCGCACTTCCACCTCACCCCGCGGATTCCTTCTGTCTTACACTCGTCACACATCACCTTGGGGTGTTGTGTTCCTGGGTCAGAAATTGATATACATAAAGTTGTTTAGAAATATATAAATATATATATATAAAGGGAGAGAGAGAGAATAAGAGAGAGAGAGAGAGAGAGAAAGGATAAAGAAAAAGAAAGAAAGATGGAGAGAGAAAGAGTATAAAGAAAAAGAGAGAGAGAGATGGAGAGATAGAGAGAGAGAGAGAGAGAGAGGGAGAGAAAGAGAGGGAGATGGATAGAGAGAAAGAGAGATGTTTTGACTTTTTTCATTAACAACATTTTATTTAGGATCCATGAAGTTGAAACATCATAATATGATTACCAAAATATGTTTACAGAAATAGAAAGAACATAACAGAAAAAAAACAACAATACTTAGTAACTATTAAGAAAATTGAAAAGATCAAATTTAAAAATCTAGTGGTAAAAAAAAAAAATTAATGAGAAATGTTTTAATTCAAACCTTTGAGTAAATTGGGTTTCTTTTTAAAAAAATAAAATAATATTTCCCGAAAATTAATTGGTTGACAATTTTAGCGCACTATGCGACATTTTCTCGCTTGTCCTTTTAACCCTGGTCCCTACGATATTTTATCCACTCTTTCAAGTTCTTCCACATTCAGTTTTACCTCTATTTTACCGATCTATCTCCAAGCTCTAGATTAACTTTAGAATTACATCTCTTATCAAAGTTGTTATTGTTTGTGGGCTCATTGCTAAGCATTCCCCCTAAGACGCTTTCGTCGCGAGAGACCAAGAGATAAACTTGTGTGTATGGTGCTCATTCCATCCTCTGGATTTTATAGTGTCAAATAAAAAGACACTCCAAATAAGAGGCATCAAAGTGAAAATGTGCTTTAAGCTTCAGTTTTGTGATCCATATTGTTTCTGGCAAATACGAAACTTGTCCAACTGAAAAATGACCAACAGAAAAATTACCAACAGAAAAATGACCGGCTGAAAAATGACCACTAGTTGAAATGTTCGAAACTTGCAGAGCGTACGGTAGACGAGGAGCTCACTGATATTCAATAGCCATATTATTATTTAATGTGACTATAAATTATTATTTTTTGGTTAAATCTCTAATGACCCTCTCATAAGCTGACCACCCCCAAAATATCCCATGAAATATTTCTCCTAAAAAGTCAGCATTAGAGCCAATCCGAAATTATAAATTTATTCATTCTTGATACAATTTTAGATTATTCTGATTGATATATTTATTCATTCTTGATACCTTTTTTAGATTAGTCTGATTGATATATTTTTTCGTTCTTGATACAATTTTAGATTATTCTGATTGATATATTTATTCATTCTTGATACCTTTTTTTAGATTAATCTGATTGATATATTTATTTTTTCTTGATACAATTTAAGATTAGTCTGATTGATATATTTATTCATTCTTGATACCTTTTTAGATTAGTCTGATTGATATATTTATTCATTTTTGATAACATTTTAGATGGGCGAATCGTTTATTTAACTTACCGTCCTGAGCGTTGTCGAAAACAAGAAGATCATATTTCCCACCATGCCCAGCCCTGTACCAATGCCTGGAGCCACCATCCCACCGAACTCTCACATAGTTCCTGTGAGTTTTCGAGAGCCCTTGACCGCCTATCTCAACAACTGTTCCAACGTAGCCCTCATGCATGTCCTGGTCACACCACTTCCAATCTGGACCCCTGACCACTCGATAGCCGAGCCCAAAACCTAAGTTCACATCCGCTTCAACATCTGACTTTGCTTTCTTCTGGAGAATATAAACTTCAGCCATGTATGTGTGCCATGTATGTGTTCCATGAACATATATTCTTCTCGCTACTTCATTTAAAGCAGTATAATGTAAAGACTTTAAAACCATAAATAAATGTATTAAAAAAAAATAATAATCAACAACTTATGCTTTTAAGATCATATTCCCGAGTCAGTGTCGAAAATTCAATGGATCGATTAGTCGACTCAGAGAAACGCCTGGTTATCGGACCTGATTCAAATATGACTTCCTTAGAATATATTGAAATACTTCATAATAGGAATCAAAAAGATGAATTAACTTTATCTGAGCGTTTAACGTGTTTTACCGGGCCATCTAAACATCAGCAGGCGAGCAGAATGTGAACAAGACCCACCCCCTAATGTCTTGAAGTCACTGGCCTTTATGAAAGTGTTCATTTTTTGACACTGACAGAAGGCGCTGCGATACTTTCAAAAAAAAAAAAAACACCTTTAAAATATTAAATACATATTATTTTAATTTAAAAAAGGACTCCTCAGATCTTTTCTTTAAAATTTGAAAGTTCAAAACAGTTTATTTTGTTATTTTTTAAAGTTAGGGTTAGGGTTTGGGGAAAAAGAATACACAGCAACATAGAGGCAATCACGTGCCTTATTTCAGACTTACCTTTCCAAACGTTAGTCTTTTAATGCTGTTTCGAAACATCCTTGCTCAAATGATGAACGAAATCTTGTAGAAGCTAACATGATTATAGACAGTTTATAAAATTAAAAAACAGAGAATAAGAGTAAGTACACTTTTAACATAGTCGTGATAACATATGAACAATTTAAAAAATAGAAATCTACTAAAGGGCATCTGTTCGAGCAGAGGTCCTCAACATGTGGGTCGTGACCCCTTTGGAGGGCGAAAGACCCTTACAGGGGTCGCCTAAGACCATCGGGAATCACATATTTATGAAGTAGCAATGAAAATAATTTTATGTTGTTTTTTTTGTCACCACAACATGAGGAACTGTATTAAAGGGTGCATACAGTAGGAAGGTTTGGAACCACTGTATTAGAGGTCGAAGTAGTTTAAGTGCTGAATTTATTGCTGTACTTTTAGGGACGCCTGACGTAAAATACAACATTTCTTATGGATTTTGGGAAACTTTAAAATAAAGGAAATTATGTTTAAGGAAGTCATCCCACATTTCAAATTTTATTAGAAGGAATTAGAATTGAAAAGCAGATGGCGCAATTAACACCCATTGCTTTTTCAATGACGTGATTACCATAGTTTATTGTCTACACGGTAACAATATATTGTATTTTATTCTAATATTAAACAATTCCTAAAAAAATTTTTTCGTATCAATCCTTTATTTGTATTTTTAGAATAAAGTGTAAGTGCCAAGTTTTAGCTAGATATTTTGACGGGAAGTAGATCGATTGGCCGTCAGAAGATTTTGCTACCCAGATAGTAAGAAACACACGAAGAAAATCGAAGTTAATCAAACATTGACGTAGAGGCCATGTCTCTTTTTTTTCGGTTAGGTTTTTAAATGTTACTTCCATTCGTTTCCTTTCCGCTTTTCTCAACTTTTTTTGTGTGTCTGGGACTTGGTTTGCACCCACTCTTATTAATCTTTTCTGTTTTTTAGGTAGGATGAATGTAAACATTTATAACGTAGATTTAATTTATACTAATTTAAATGTTTTTTTTTTTGTACCAATGACAGCATTTTCCAAAATGTTCACTTTTGTATTTAATATGTAAATCATCTTCAAAGCTCAACGAATATTGTTTTTTCCCCACATAAATTGTTTGTGTCGAATTAATCTACTTTAAAGCTTTATTGCAGTCCAACACTCGTATAAATTACATAATCGATTTAAGAAAAAGAAAATTTTACTAAATTTTAACGTATTTAATTGCATTATGAAATGAGTTTTTGCGCATCACTCTAAGTATATCAATTAATTGTCCTTAATTTTAAATGTAGCTGGTGACACAAGAAATTCGCGTATATACTTTATGCAGAAAAGCAGGGGCTTGAAGATATACTAAAAAAACCATATGTCAAGTACCCTAAATATTTTAGAATGTTTTAATCGTTTAAAATGTATATTATTAAGTTGAACTCGACTTCGGTATTTTCACCACAGTTCTATAAAACCCACTTACAATATCAATACTAACTTACCCAGTTCTGATTTCCTGTATATTTGTTTTAAACTCTCTTAAATTAAAACGAAACAGTTAAACGGTGTCTGCATTTTGGCACGACATAAAGGTTGAAATCAGCGGTTCTCAACTTGTGGGTCGCGACCCCTTTGGGGGGTCGAACGACCCTTACAAAGGGGCCGCCTTAGACTATCGGAATATACATATTTATGAAGTATCAACAAAATAATTTTATGGCTGGGGGGTGGGGTCATCACAACATGAGGAACTGCGTAAAAGAGCCCCGGCATTAGGAAGGTTGAGAACCGCTGATTTAAATAGTTTTCTTTCATGGAATCGTTAAGTCGTAAATCAAGTCGATATGTCGTGCATGCCAATTATTGATCGTGAATCTCCTGAAACCCCAAACAAATAGGCTGACGTAATCATTATTTGGCAACTTGTCAAAAGGACGTCTACGAAAAAAGGAAATGGTGTTAAGCTTTTGTTAGGGTTGAGTCTATCTGATTCTCTCAGCAAGTTATAAATATCTTTCTGTGGGAATGAAATACTGAAAGAAATAAAGAGTAAGTGCACGTGCATTCATCTGATTGTTGTCATCAAATGTCTTTGTCTGATTGTTGTCATCAAATGTCTTTGTCTGATTGTCGTCACCAAATTAAATGTCATCGTATGATTGTCGTTGCCAAATGTCGTCATCGGCCTGCCTTCACAAAATGTCTTCGTCTGAATGTCGTCCTATGGGGGGAGGATGTCATTGACGAATTCTTGTAAAGGTGGGATCACTAGGCAGCTGTTTCATCCCGGGCAGAAGTGAACATTGCTGACCCCCTAGCAGCAACCACTGAGGCACCCACAGGGCACTAACACTCTAGCAGCAACCACTGAGGCACCCACAGGGCACTAACACTCTAGTAACTATGACTTGGGAACCGACATATACTAACAATTTAGCAGCTACCACTGGGTTACCCACAGGACACTAACACTCTAGCAGCTACCACTGGGACACCCACAGGACACTAATTCTCTAGCAGCTACCACTAGGGCATCAATAGACACTAACACTCTACCAGCTACCACTAGGGTATCCACAGACACAAATACTCTACCACCTACCACTAGGGTATCCACAGACACAAATACTCTACCAGCTACCACTAGGGTATCCACGGACACTAATACTCTACCAGTTACTACTAGGGCACTCACAGACACTAACACTCTACCAGCTACCACTAGGGCATCCACAGACACTAATACTCTACCAGTTACTACTAGGGCACTCACAGACACTAACACTCTACCAGCTACCACTAGGGCATCCACAGACACTAATACTCTACCAGTTACCACTAGGGCACTCACAGACACTAACACTCTACCAGCTACCACTAGGGCATCCACAGACACTAATACTCTACCAGTTACTACTAGGGCACTCACAGACACTAACACTCTACCAGCTACCACTAGGGCATCCACAGACACTAATACTCTAACAGTTACTACTAGGGCACTCACAGACACTAACACTCTACCAGCTACCACTAGGGTATCCACGGACACTAATACTCTACCAGTTACTACTAGGGCACTCACAGACACTAACACTCTACCAGCTACCACTAGGGCATCCACAGACACTAATACTCTACCAGCTACCACTAGGGCATCCACAGACACTAATACTCTACCAGTTACTACTAGGGCACTCACAGACACTAACAATCTAGCAGCTACCACTAGGGCACGGACAGAGACTATCTTTGCATAATGCATTTTTAAACATAGTATAATTATTTTCTCCTTTTTGCTCTTGTTTTAACTCGTCTTTGATACACATTTTTAAAAAAATTTTCTGTCTTCTACTTTTAGTATTAAAATTGTAATATTTAAATTATCGACAAAAGTAGGTTTTTTTTCATTTTTTTTTTAACCATTGAATTTCTACAAAATCTCTGTTGAAGTGACATAACACTTAACCTAGGCATACAACTCAAAATTAGATCTTAGCTCACCCACCCAACCGCTCACTTAAGGAAGGGGACGCAGTCAGACACGATCGTTTGTGGGACAGAATCAAACCACCACTGTCAATCCGTTAGGCTTTTCATTTTGAACACTGCACAAAAAAATTCTTAAAATTTAACGTGTCTAAAACAAATAAATGACACTTCACACACAAGATTATGCTAGACAAGATGGAAGTTCGAGCAAAGAGAAAGTCTTTAAAAAAGGGGAATTAATTTTCCCTTCACTTTATTTTCTTTGAATCAATGCAATGCGTGTTCTATAAACCAAACACCGGTACGTACAAATATGTTGATATTGTGTTGTTTCATTTTTTTTAGGAAATTTAAAAAAAAAATAGTTCATTCAGAGGATGAAGGGCTGGGGTAGGGGTATTTGGAAGTTTTACATGGGTTAACAAACAAGGAGGTGGGGGTGGGGTAGGGGTATTTGGAAGTTTTACATGGGTTAACAAACAAGGAGGTGGGGGTGGGGTAGGGGTATTTGGAAGTTTTACATGGGTTAACAAACAAGGAGGCGGGGTTGGGGTAGGGGTATTTGGAAGTTTTACATGGGTTAACAAACAAGGAGGTGTGGGTGGGGTAAAAATTATTTAAAAATTGTTATAACGTATCAAATTATAGGAGATGTATTTGATTAGAAGGGACAAAAGACAGGATTATTTTATGATCGGTACATTTCTCATGCCATTATAAAAAAATATTTCCCCCCATACTATCATTTTTTTTCAAAAAGAGCTGAGCGCAATAACGCACCAAACTTGGAGAAATTCTGAGCAGTTGTTCTCTACCAATGTCTGATGAAATTTAAAGTCAGTGGTAAAACATTTTTTAAATAAAAGTCTGTTTTCTGTGACCTCGAGCATTTATTCCTTCAGGTAAAGTTTTCTAATGCTGTGAGCAGTGTTAGAAGCTCATTACTTCTGCTAAGTCCAGCTGTGAATATAAACATCTTGTGTGAGGAAAGGGATAAGGAGATGAACCTTGACAAACAACATAGACTCACTGTTGTGTTTTTGAATACTACTAATAATTACACTTGAAAAACTAATATTATTTTTCGTTGAGCACATCAGAGTAATATAAAACTTTTTTTTTAGTACAAGTGCTTTGATGAATGGCCATAAAGTTTTAATAAATCCATTTAATTATTGTTGTTATATCAGGAATTTTTTAAAAAAGATTATGATTCCATTTTTAATTAAACTATTAATTCATTAAATGCAAAATATCAGGTAGTAGGATAAAAACTAAAATGTAATTGCCAAAAATTTTCCCAATTTAAAATACAATTTTTAAAAGGATTTAATAAAATTAAAATTGTTGTTTAATCCTTACCTCTGATTAAATAGTGGTTCATTTAAAATCTTTAAATTCTTATTTATGATTATTTTAAAAAATTGAAACAGATTAAAAGGGAAATAACATGTTACAACCTTAAGGTTTTAAAAACAAATACACAGTATTCTCCAATGACCTTTAAAACAAAACAAAAAAAAGGCCATCGTAAGATTTGACCAAAAAATAAATTACACGATGGTCTCCTTTTTACGGCAAGACCCGAAAAGTTCATTTCTGAAGTCATTTTAGTAACTTTTAAAATTAAACGATGGATCTTTCTGACCAATAAATTTTATAAATCGTTTGAAAAATGTTCGTTTACACTTGAAGACCTCAAGGGAAAAAAAGGCAGAGTCCATTTTTAATTTTTTTGAGTTATCACCCCTGACTTATAGCCAGTTAAAAATAGAAGGTGCTGAATTAAGTTTAAAGGAGAAAAAATGGCTAAGTCTATAAGAAAAATGGAAACGAAAAATCCGTTTACAATGGAAAAAGAAGCATAGTCCAATGTTTACAATGGAAAAAGGGGCTAAGTCACTAATATCACGTGACATTTGAAGTCACGTGATTTAAAGGTCCAATGAGAGATAGCTATAGTGTAAACAAAATTTAAAGATGGCGACCGATTCGCTCAGCTGACCGACAAAGCGACGAAAAAGTTAACTGACAGACCTGAATTTTTTATTTCCTACCACAAGAAAACTAAACAAATTAACATAAGCACGATAAATTGGACTTAAAACATTAACAAAAATAAAATTTGTATTTTTAAATC